GGTACATTATTTTAGGTTCAAAACAAAAGTATAGACCAGAGAAATAATACACAGTGGCCTGTGGATTCCCATATGAAATAAAATCCATGTGGCAATTCCAGTCGAGGCTCCTTAATTGATTTTATGTACAAAATGAAGACATAAGAAATGACACAATTTCTCCATAGGGCTACCTAGAGATTTTAGCATCTTCATACATTAAATGAATCATCATGTTGCCCATCAGAAGTTTGTATAGTAATGGTGTAAATGATCATATTAAGGGTGTTTAGGAACTGACAAAGTGGACTCCAAATGCTCAAGCCTTATGTTCCTCCTGTCACCACCCTTCCTTCCCCAGGCCTGGCTGCAAGGAAATTGCCTCATTAAGCTTTTCAGTCTGAAGCTGCTTTAAAAAAAATCTGGCTTGTTTTCAGGAGGACAAAATATTTTGAAATTGTGCACCACTGTGCTTTAAAAGAAAGGATTCTTATAACAAACAAAAAAAGTGCATTATGAGTGTAGTCTGTTACAAGAGTCTCCAAACAGGTGCCCCCACACTGAAAAATGTCTTGACCCATGAAGTAACTTTTTGCCATTGCCCTCTTACAGGTTATGATGGACTTAAAACCTGCCCATGCTAATAACAGAGGATTTTTTTTTAGCTGAGTTTCTGGTAGCTTTTGCCAGTTTCAGGACAAGGAGAGGACAGGAGCCAAGAAAAATGGGTGTTCACAAGCTAATTGCACCCATCACAAGCATCAGTGTAATCAGCAGAAGAGATCCTCCTCCCTTGGCATGTTTCCCCAGACAAATCAAACCTCCATACACGAATATGTCGAGCATCTCCAAAATAACCTGATCTTGCATTGGGAAAGTGGGGGGTGTTGGTCAGAGCCCATCTCCCCAGCGATGCTGTGGCATCCCACAGAGGATTCCCAAGCACCTGTGGAACCCTGTGGAGCTCAGTGCCCAGCTCTGCCCTTCAGCTCCTCTGCCTGAAAGTGGGAAGGGTGATGCTGAGTCTCACTGCCCCTGCCAGGGCTGTGCTGTAAAGATCCTCCTTCCAAAACCTGTGTTTCTCTGCTCTCTGAAGTTTCTGGGAGAGTCCCAGCTCTCAGGCAGACTGAGACTGCAGGAAGTTTTTGCAGTGTTAGTACCTTTTCCAGTGTTGTAGAAGGACTGCTTTTAGAAAATGCCATTTATCACACACAGCACCACGTGGCAACCTGCACAGTGTCATATTGATACTCCCAGCCCACCGCATGTAATTGTGTTTATACAGTCACAGCTTGGGTTTTATTTTTCAATTTCTGCTATAATTGTTTGTCAATGTTTTCTCACGCCCTTTTTTTTTTTTTTTAAACCATATTATTTGGTCTTCCAGCGTGTTATCAAGAATATGGAACATCCCATAAATATTTTAATAGTCATCTTCTTAATGCTGTGTCAAGTTTAAGGGTGGTGAATCCTTCTCAATTATTTCTGTATTCATGCCTCATGTTTATTGTCGGACTCCTGATGCACAAGGTTCCCACATTTGTGTATCCTGCTGTTTCTCTGAGTGTTATGTAGTATAGTTTGAAATACAGTGGCTTCTGAGGCTTGGCTGTGTGGTTTTGACTTACATATTTTTCTAGTATCTAGACTTTGCTTTATTGTCTTCTATGAATTATTGCCAATAACTATTCCTAGGGCTGTTAAAATAGCCCTGCTCTCAGAGTGAAGAGCACATCCTACATTTCCTCCTCCTCTGCTGCTGAAATCACTTTTCTTCTCTAGAATGTGCTCAGAGAACAAATTCTATCAGCAGCAGTGTGGCCAGCAGGACCAGGGCAGGGATTGCCCTTCTGTACTGGGCACTGGAGGAGCCAGTACCAGTGTGTCCAGAGAAGGGCAACAGAGCCGGGGAAGGGTTTGGAGAGTAAGTCTTATGAGGAGCATCTGAGGGAGCTGGGAGTGTTTAACCTGCAGAAAAGGACGCTCAGGGGAGACCTTCTCACTCTCTACAACTCCATGAAAGGAGGTTGTAGCCAGGTGGGGGTCAGGCTCTGCTCCCTCTCAAATAACTTAACCCTGCATAGGAAAATGAAAAAAATCATATACCCTTCATTCCCTTGCTTTTTTTCCTGCTCAAGAAGACCACACAAATCATAGAATCATAGAATGGCCTGGGTTGGAAGGGATCTTGAAGGTCACCCAGTTCCAACCCCCTACCATAGGCAGTGACACCTTCCACTATCCCTGGTTGCTCAGAGCCCATCCCAGTCTGGCCTTGAACACTTCCAGCGATGGACATCTGCAGCTTCTCAGGGCAAACTGTTGAGCAAGGACCAGTAAAATATTAAGATTTAGAGTCTAATAAATATGGCATTAGCACTGTTTAACCCAAGCAGTTTGTACACAGAGGTTGCCCGTGAGAATTCAAGGTCGTGTTGCATCAGAGCAGACGCTCCTTGGGGAACACCAGATTGACGCTCTTCTGACTAGCACCCAGTAAGGAAAAAAAACCCTGTGAAGAAAAAAACCCTACCTTGCCTCCACTAACACATCAATTTGCTTTCTGTCTAGGACTGCCTTAAAGCTTGTCAGGAACAGATCGAAGCGGTGCTAGTAAACAGCCTTCGACAAGTCCGGCAGCAGCAGCAGCAAAGCAATCCTTCCAAGACGGTGGATGAACTGGACCAGGCCAGCACTCCCACAGATGTGAGGGATATCAACCTGTGAGGACATCACCACACGAAGTCACGCTTGCTCCTCCCAGCCCAGTTTATTTTTGTTATTGTTTTTAGAGTGAATTTTTTTTTTTTTTTTAATCTGCTCCCACATAGAGCATATTTAAACCTCTTTTAGGCAAAAAAAAAAAAAAAAAGCAACAAAGAAACAACAACAACAACAAAAAAAGACAAAACAAAAACTGAATAATGAAAAAAAAGCATTTGGTGCCTGTGATGTTCTACAGAAGGGAATCCCACAATATATTTGGTAATTGCTATTTGATTATGTATCAGTGATATTAAATGCTTATAAAAGCATACAAAGTAGCTAGATCAATGTAAGCCTGCATTTGTGGGAAGAAAGTAGAGTATACTTGTCTGTGTATTATGACCTAGTGCATACACCCCTTTTTTAGATTTAAGAAAGGAATCGTGTGTGCGATTTTATGGCTTGACTAGATTGCAAAGCAATAGAATAAGGGGTTTAGGGCAAAGTGGGAAAAGATCCCCAAAGCAATTGAACCATTTTGAATGCAGAAGAGATTTGCTGATCTGTCACCTCTGTTAGTCAGAAGTGTTTGTTGGATCTCTGTATGTTAGTTTTGTTTACTCTTGCTGTCTGTGGTAGCTGCTACCTAAGAAAGAAGATGCTTTATTTTACCAGCCAGAAGAGCAGGTGTTTTTTGGTTTTTATTTTTAGTTGATTTATTTTTCTTTTTTTTCTCGACTTCCCCTCTCCCTTCTTGACTTTTTTCTACTTCTCCTTCAGAAATGGTTCATTCTAAACACAGCAGCATCTTTGGCATAAGGGCAATTCTGTTTACCCAGCTGTGGGCCAAGCCAAAGTTACCGAGTGTCGATGTTCAGTGGGGGAAATGCATGAATTAATCCCAAGTGGTTGGCTCTAATTAGACCACCTCCAGCCTTTGGATTGCAAGATGTGGTGGATCATCTATGAAAAGCATTATATTCCTTCCCAGTGCTAATGCTTCACATCAATGTTAACTTCTGGCAGCTTCTTAGCTTGGCCATCAAGACATTTAAATGATGCTCTGTCCATCTTCCTTTTTGACATAAACCTCACTGTGTTAAAGAAGATGAGATTTGGTTTGATCCCTCGTCTACCTTCCCATCTTCCCCCGCCACCCCCGCACACTTTTTCAGCATTTCATTAACTTTATTGATCCACAGTGAGCATTTTTTGTAAACCATTTCATTCGAAAAGCACTTTGAAAATTGTTCCTAAGGGATTAAATGAGATGGTTTATGACAATTTTGCCGAGGAGGAAAAAAAAAAAAACAGAAAAAAAAAAAAGAAAAAAAAGGAAAAAAAAGAGAAAGAAGACACAAAAACAAGGCCTATAGCTTTTTATAGTCAATATTTTCCAGTATTTGGTGTACTTGGTTAGTTGAGGTGTTGCTGGAAATACCAATACCCACTTCAGATGACATTCCTGTCATGACATTCCGGAAAAAAGCCTGACCATCTGTATTGTTCAGTGTCACAGAAGGATCTTAATAACCACCTTCATGCTCATCTGTGGACAAGGCAAGAACATTCCTGATGCAACAGACATGATGGGAAACATCGAGGTGTGTGACTTGGAGTTTTATTACAAAGGTGTATTCAGTGTACTTGAATTTATTTTCCTGCTCCACCTGTAACAAAGAGGCATTTAGATGGCAAAAGGAGTTGGAGCAACTTGTTTTTTTTTTTTTTTTGCACAAATGTATTAACAGTTTGCAGATATCCAATATGAAGCTGTTGGTTTGAAATGTTAATGTTTGCATTTTTAAGAAAAAAATCCAGAAAGAACATGCTACTTCGAAGAAAATTATATGTATGGACTTAGCCATATTTGGCTAGATGAGGGTAGAAAAATGGAGTAAGATTCTAAGGTTTTGTTGGGATTTTTTTGGTTTTGGGGGGTTTTTTTGGTTTTGTTTTTTTTTTTTTTGCGCTGCTAAGAAGCTATGATTTGTTTCATTCTTATTCACATTAACAGTACTTAGCTGTATTGTTTCACTGAGTGTGCTGCTATTTTATAAACATTTTTATAATATATTATTTTACTGCTTAAATTTCAAATCCTGAAGTAGATGGTTAAGTGGAGATATGATGAGTTCTTTTGATTTACTGGAAATGCCCTGTACAGTCGTTTTTGTTTTTTTTTTCCTAATAGCGTGTTCATGATTATTTTTTTTTATTTTATTTTTTTCCTTTCTTTTTTTTTTTTTTTTTTTTCTTTTCCCTTTCCTTCCTTATCACATCCTGCAAAGATGGTATACTTACCTCAGGTTTGCTGGACAAAACAAATGGTTCCCATTTTCACAATACCTCACACAGTGACAGTTCGGTTTCGCCCCGGGGCCCGCGCTCTGTCCGCACTGGAGAGGGGTTGCAAGCAGCCAAGGCGGGGCACTGGCTCCTTTTTTTATCTTTGGTATTCTTGTCATAGTGGAAAAAATGCATTGACTCTCCACTGGCTGGTCCATCTTTCCCAGAGTCACAGGTGGGCACAGCCTTGTCCTCACCTCCTGCCTCGATGTTCCGCGCTGGGAGCGCCTGGAGTTCAGCGACAGTGTCTCTCCTGGAGGAAAAAAATAGTTAATGTTGTTGAAGCCAGACTCCACGCAGCTTGTATGTGACAGATCACACCATTCCCAGACAGCAAATGTGGTTGCATGTGCCAGAGGGTCCCAGATGGTGGGATGGCCTCTCTGTCATGGCATGAGCGCTGGCACCATGTTCATCATGTTTGGATGGTTTGCTCCCCTCTGTGCTGGAGGTCAAGTGTTGGCAGCACTAGTATTTAGGGTGCCTGCCCCTGCTCTTCGTCTCCTGCGTGCCCTGGTCCCGTGGGATCACAGGGGTGATCCCTGCAGGATCACACCCCAAGAAAGGGGCTGAGGGCCACCGCCGAGGTCAGATCCGGTTGTGCTGGAAGGAGCAGCACCGTTCAGCATTCCCAGTCCCTGACAGGGACCTGGAAGGCCTGTGCTGGCCCCAGTCCCTCACAGGGCCCACCTGGTTACTGTATGTTTAAAGTCTGGAAAACCTAGAACTTGAGTGTTTTCAGAATAGCTTCCAAAATAAAATTACTGTCTAGTGCTCTCTTCTAACAGATGTTAAAGGGAGTGCCCTGTTATTGCAAATGAGGTGTGAGTGTCCCCCTCCCCCCGAATTGCAGAAATCCTAAACCTTCCAATGGATTGATTAAAAAAAAATAAGGTGGTGCTGATTATGCCTTCCCAGGTGCCAAAGGATTGGCAGAATTGCTAAAAGCATTTCTCTCTCAGCTTCCTATTGATGGTACTTTGTGATGATTTTCCCCTCCCTCCCGTTCCTGTAGTGTAGGAGCACCTCATAGTGTATTTATTTGTATTTCCAACATGCTTGTGAAAGAGAAAAATGATTAATCCCATGTCAATGTCGATGATTTGTGCTTGAGTCATCGGATGGCTCTTCATTACTCAGCAAGCCACCTGGCCACTGGATTTTTTCCACTATGTTTATTACCATGTTCTCATGTACCTCAGAAATCAGTCTCGGTTGCACAGTTTCTGTTCTCAAACTTCTTTGGGTTTTTGGTTTTTTTTTTTTGGTTTTTTTTTTTTTTTTTTTTTGGCTTTATTGAGTGTGATGCCATATCAAGTCAATGTTATTCTCTCACAAATGTGCTCTTTAAGAGGTGTGGATGTTTATGTGGTCAGGGGATGCTAGAAAGTGTGGTAGTAGACATCAGGGTAAACAAAAAGTATTTAGAAAGTACACAAGGTTGTTTTCAATGGATAAGACTCTGATACGGTGTAGTCTTGATTACCTTTTAAAAGGTCTTTGTTCAGTGTTGTCATTTTTATTAATAACCTGTTGTTTTGACTAGTTTAAAGATGGTTCTAAGACAAGTGTTTTGGCGGGATTAGGTATGCTGTATGGACAATAAACTCACCTTGACCTACATTTGCCTGCCTTGCTTTTATTCTTTCCCTGAATTTGGCTGCATTCCTCACTTTATGATGGTGTTTTCCTGGGTGTGATTGTGATGGTGCAAAGAGTGTGATTTTAAAGCCTCTGATCTGGATTGGTGGTGTCAGCAGGCATACAAAATGTGCACTGTTGAGTGTCACAGTCCCAGAACAAGCTTTCCTGCCTACTGGATAGGCAAATCCTGGCATGTTTCTTCTGTGAAACAATCCAGTGAGATTTAAGGAGAACAAAGCCCTAAAAGGTAAGTACAGGATCAAAACATTTTGTCAGAATTAACTGGAGCTGGTGAAAAGTCATTGTAAGGACATGGGAGTGCCTGTTTTTGCAACCTACTGAAATATGATTTAAATCCCCACTCAGTTATTTGTTGCATTGGAATGCTACTGCAAAACCTAGGTGGCTTTTGTTTCTGTAATATTCAGGCAAACAGAGTAAAAGGAGTGGGATTTATGGCGAAGGCAGAGCCTCCATGTGCTAAGCCTGTGGCCAGAGGTGGGATGCTCAACCTCTCCCTCTTCCACATCTGCTTGTGGATGTTTGCTGTGAAGTGACCAGCCTGTGTGATGTGCTTGGCCTGACCTCAGCATCCCTCCTCCACTGCCATCCAGTAGGAGTTTTCTCCTGAACTTGAGAGAGCAAAGAAGCACTGAAGAATGAAGAAGAGGCATTTGGGCAGACATGCTGGGGAAACACCATCATCAAGTGAATAATACTGCCAATACTAGATAAATGAAAGAAAAAAAAAGAAAATCCAAGATATAATGAACAGGGAGAAGAAAAAAAAAAAGGAAAAAAAAATCTTGCTGAAATAAACATATGAGCAAAAATAAACAGATACGAACAAATAGAAAAAATGATGGAAATATTTAATATGAATATGAATTAAATATGAAATATGAATTAAATTAATAGGAATGAATAAGAAATTAATAGGAAACATGAATTAAATCAGGAGGCTGTGAATCAGGACATACAGATCTTTTTAAAAATAATCACATGACTTTGGGACCTGTGGCTTTAGGCAAAGTCTCCTAAGACTTCCCTGCAAAGTGGCCTGTGAGCCTCATATTTCCCAGGTTGTGTGCACCAAAGGTAGAGATTCTAAAACATAACAAATCCTCTGTTCCTCTGGCCACCATTTGACAATGTGACCAACAATTTCTGGCACCTTGTAGGCACAACTTGGATCCTTTGAAGAACTGGAACTTGTGAGGGTTCTTACTCCTTCCTTTTGTGGTCTAAGGCTCAAAGGGGTGCTCTCCAGCCTAATTTCGGGTTTTAGGGGATTAATTCCTTTCCTGATACAGTGTCACCAGCCCTGGAACTGCACGGATGTGCTCTGTATCTTCATGTTTTGAGAGGTTTGACTAAATCTAGATTTAGAAGGAAGGAGATTTCTGTTGCCATTAAGTGAATATATATTTTCAGAATTGGGGCACAGAAGCTAAAATTGAAATTAATTGGACAACAGCCTGTCCTTTCCTTTGAAGAAAGCTGGCTGGATGCTGAGAAGCCACAGACAACAGGGTTAAGTTTCACTACTATGTGGCCTGTGAAACTATTTTGTGTTGTCATCTCCTTACCATCTGCAAACAGTCTCTGCCCATCATGATCCTATACTTTATATAAGTACAGCCTGAGGATTATAAGAAGGGACAACACAGAAAAATCATGCTTAAAACAACTGGATGGGCACAGGCTGGACTGACTCCTGTGTTTAGGGAAATTTCTGAGGCAAAGGAAAGAAAGCTTTAGCACCGAGATTCCAGAAAAAAAACCCCAAACACATAATTGCTTGGTGTTTCCAATCTCAGAATACGAGTTAGGTTATTTTTTATTTTACATTTCCCAAAATTTTTCTGTGGGGACAAGAAATGCAGGGAATTTTCCTTTGTGTTTCAATGAACTTATCCTGAATGCTTGTTCCAGGAGTCTTCAAAGTCTTCTATTGCAATTGCTGTGTGTTTTTTAATTTGTCCAGTAACTGTGTAGTCGCTCTTTATTCCATGCTGCCCTAAAAGCAAAGTTCCCATCAAATCTCATGCAACCAGCACAAGCAGAATGAAATTCTTTCCCTGCTGGAAGACAGTGGAAGCTCTTCAACAGATTAGTAATTTTCCCACCAACTCCACCTTGTTCATGCCTCACACTGTAAATTATTAGTCACCTCAGTAAATGTAATGTTGATGGAAAGGCAGGTAGAAAAGGTCTATTTCAACTCTTCATGGGGAAGAAAAAGCCCAGAAACCCACATGGCTTTGTAGCTCTATTGCTGATACACTCTCTCACCTTTCTGCATCCCCTTGCAGGTATAAAGACAGAGTAGTTGCATTCAGGTATTAAAGAATTGTGGTAGAGCCTTCTCTGTGCTGTCAGCAAATCAAAGCTGGAAGGGCAGGGAAAGAGGCTATGCTCTGCTTCTTCACCCCCACAGCTTGCTGAGTCTTTCCTCCCAGTTAAGGGAAAGTTTATTTTCAAAGCTCTTTGGGGATCCCTTTAGATCTGTGGAGAAAGCTAAGTGTACCACATTTACTTTGTACCTACTTGAAATATTAAAAGCAAACCAAACACTCTTTTGCTTTTCTAAGTGTAATGATGATATCTCTTACGATGAAAGGCTGAGGGAGCTGGGGCTGTTCAGCCTCCAGAGGAGACACTGAGAGGGGACCTCATCCATGTGTGTCAGTGTCTGCAGGGAGGGGGCAGAGGATGGACCAGGCTCTGCTCGGGGGTGCCCAGCAATGGCACAAGAGGCCACGGGCAGGAACTGATGCCCAGGAAGTTCCAGCTGGACATGAGGAAGAACTTCTTTGCTGTGCAGTGACCGAGCACTGAACAGATTGCCCAGAGAGGGTGTGGAGTTTCCCTCACTGGGGATATTCCAGAGCTGTCTGGAATCCTGTACCATGTGCTCTGGGATGACCCTGCTGGAGCAGGGAGGTGGGACCAGATGCCCCACTGTGGTCCCTTCCAACATTACTCTGTGATTCTGAGATTGTGATTCTATTTAAAAGGCATTGTGATTCTATTTAAAATGGTTCTCAAAGGTGATTTGCATTCCAGCTGTGTGCAGCCTCGGGGGAACAGGTACCACAATATTTTGACACCAAAAAGTGTGTGTGGCAGCTGATGTTACTGCTGATGCTTCCAGAAGATAACAATGAAAATTGTGGGAGTCTTAGTGAAGACACGTGCCAGGGAGAACATGAGGCCAGTGCTCAGGTGGGCTTCAAGTGAGCATCTCCTCTGATGGACACATTAAATCAAGACCTGTTAGGATTACAAAGTAAGGTGAGTAAAGCTGAAGTATTTAGACTTAGGTAATTGGCTCCTCAAACTACTTGGTAATACTTCTTAGAGCAAAAGCTCTGGTTCATCTGACAGGGGACCCACAAGCATCCCTGAAGAGCAATAGACTGACCTTTCTGACAAGGAGGGTTTTCAGAACTTGAACAAAGTTGTGAATGGGACATAACCAGCTGAAGGATGGCGAATGAAATCAGCATTGTTACCCAGCACACCTAAACAAAAATTTCTCTCAATTTTTCCGGCTTCCTCAAGTTCCCTCTGAGAGGAGACCTCTTTGCAGCCTACAGCTTCCTCACAAGGGGCAGTGAAGGGGCAGACCCTGATCTCTGCTCTTGTGGTGACCAGTGACAGACCCAAGGGAACAGCTGGAGCTGCATTAGGGTAGGTTTAGGTTGGATCTCAGGAAAAGGTTCTTCCCCCAGAGGGTGGTTGGGCACTGAACAGGCTCCCCAGGGCAGTGGGCACAGCACCAAGCTTTACAGAGTTCAAGAAGCATTTGGACACCACTCTCAGGCACATGGTGTGATTCTTGGGGTGTCCTGTGCAGGGCCAGGAGTTGGACTTCCACGATCCTTGTGGGTCCCTTCCAGCTCAGGATATGCCGTGATTCTATGATTCTAAGTTCAACTTCTCTGCTTCTCTGAGAAGCCTTTTATTTCAGTTTCTTTGCATTTGCTTCTTACCCACGACAAAGATCTTTCTGGAGCGCGCCGATGGTTACCGTTTAATCTCCCAAGTTTAGGTACTAAGGCTTGGCCTAACGCTGTAGCGATTTGCAACAGGAACGCCTAAAACGCGGACGCGATTCTCCTTAACGAGAGCAGCAGCACCAGAGCGAAAGATGGGGTGGGACGTGCCATCCCAGGGGAGGCGGAGGCGGTGGGATGGAACGGGAAGGTGCAGGGCGCGGGGTGGACGCGCGGTGGCGGCACCGCCGCGCCCACGGCCCGGGGCCTGCCGGGGCTCCCGCCGGAGCAACCCGGGCATTCCAGGCCGGGAAAGGAACGGCACGGTCCCTCTGTAGGGTTTATGCATCTCTTCAACACCAGCGGGCACGGATTACGCGCGGGGACAAGCGGGAGAGGACAAGGCTGAGGCGGTTCGGCCTGGGTTTCTGCTGGGCTGGTGTACTCGTGAGAGCAAGATCGGATCCCAAATGACAAGTGGGCTGCATTCCTTGATGATTTCACTTTCGTGTTCCTAATTGCCAGCTGTTGTTGCATGGAGACCAGACCACTGTTATTTAATATCTTCATTAACGACACAGACGAAGTGCACCCTCAGCAATTTTGCAGCTGAGGGGTTGATATGAAGGATTGGAACCATCCACAGGGACCTGGGCAAGCTCCGAGAGTGGCCCATGGGAATCTCACGAGGTTTAACAAGATCAAGTGTTGGTGCTGCACCTGGGTCAGGATATCAACCACCCTGGTATCAACCCAGGCTGGGGATGAACAGCTGGAGAGCAGCCCTGGGGAGAAGGACTTGGGGGTGCTGGTGGGTGAGAGGCTGGAGCCAGAAACCCCCCGTGCCCTGGGCTGCACCCAAAGCAGCGTGGGCAGCAGGTGTGAGTGGGATTCTGCCCCTCTGCCCTGCTCTGGGGAGACCCCCCTGCAGTGCTGCCTCCAGCTCTGGGGGCCCAGCACAGCAAGGACATGGAGCTGCTGGAGCGAGTCCAGAGGAGGCACCAAGATGATCAGAGGGATGGAGCAGCTCTGCTGTGAGGAAAGGCTGAGAGAGTTGGGATTGTTCAGCCTGGGGTGACCTAATGGTGGCCTTCCAGGACCTGAAGAGAGCCCACAAGGTAGATGGAGAGAGACTATTTCCAAGGCCTGGAGTGACAGGAGAAGGGGGAATGGCTTCAAACTGACAGAGAGGAGGTTTAGATTGGATATTAGGAAGAAATTCTTCCCTGGGAGGGTGGTGAGGCCCTGGCACAGGTTGTCCAGAGAAGCTGTGGCTGCCCCATCCCTGGAAGTGTCCAAGGCCAGGTTGGATGGGGCTCTGAGCAACCTGGGCTAGTGGAAGGTGTCCCTGCCCATGCCACAGATGTAGGAAGCAGATGATCTTTCAGGTCCCTTCCAACCCAAACCATTCTATGCTTCTATGATTCTATCACAACTCACTCTGGATTTAGGATATTGTCTGATGTTCATGATATGAGATCTATATGATGATGAATTTACTAGACAGTCAACATTACTGAAGTTTAAAATTTCTATTGGGAAAAAAGATTCTCATTCAAAAATGCTTAATTTCCGGCTTCACAAAAGCTTTTCCTTCCCAAGATGACTTCCTCAAAATACTGCTCCTCATCTGGTGAGCTTCTGTGCTCATGGTAGCAGTTGTGCTTTATAAACATTTTGTTTCAATGGGTCAATTTAAAAAAATAGACTCGTAAACACGGACTGACACGATGTGCTGCTGCCAATCAGAGAAATTTCTGAGGAGGAAGAAATGAAAAATAAGAATGTTAATGCTGTGCAACTTCAGGCAGTCTCTTTAAAACTTTGCCTGAAGGGCTATCACTTCTGCAAATGGACCTGTAACAAAACATGCACTTATAAAAATATAGATGCCAACAGCGTTGGCTCATGTTTGATTCTTGTCCTTCTAAAACATGCTCAAGACACAGCCGGGGTCTCCTCATCGCAGTAAAACACAGTTGTTTTTAACAGTGACACAACAGAAACAGGCCAGGGCTGAGTCATTTGGCACTGGCTCATTTACAGAGGAGAGACATATCACTGGTCTCACTCCTTGAAAATGTCAGCTCTGAAATCTGTGGAGCAAAAGCACTGCAGAAATATGAGGTTAATTCCACGCTGCCAAAGACGATAAAACAGGAATGAAGCAGACCTGCTGTTGCATTAAAGATTTAATTTAGCAGCTGGTTTAAACTATCAAATGAAACAAATTATGTTTTAGGCATCATTTAGGATGTGTTTGGTGTTAAACCTCAAACCAGTTGCAAAGTTAGGTCAGATCTCTGTGCAAACCAGAATTTCTGATTTTTAGATAGCGTTTATTCCATCCGGTTGTGAAATCCAAAAGGAAACACACTCAGCCATCTGACCAACTAACATTTTGGTTAATCACATTTTCTGTAATCCATAAAAATTCAGCCTTCTGAGGGTCAGAGGATGATTTCCAGTCACTTCTTGTGTTACTTTGTCCATTTCACCAGCAGTAATTTCTAGGCTGCCCAGAGAAGCTGTGGCTGCCACATCCCTGGAAGTGTTCAAGGTCAGGTTGGGCAGGGCTGGGATCAGCTTGGTCTAGTTGAAGGTGACCCTGCCCATGGCAGGGGTGTTGGAACAAGATGGTCTTTAAGGTCCCTTCCAACCCAAACCATTCTGTGATTCTGCAGCACAAGGCCAGCATGCTCCCAGCTGGCTGTGGATGCCCACACCACATACACTTTGTACCCTGTGCACCGACGGTCTGACACTGCTCTTTTGAACCAGCTTTCCTTTGCTGATGGTTACTCCGGGGTGTGATTTGGCTCCCAAGACTTTTAACTGCCTTGTCAGTAATGCCATTTGCATTATCATATAAAAAAAAAAAATCAATGTATTGATACTACTCTGAGCAAAGCCCTGTTGCCGATTAAGTGTTCTTAACTGAGTCGATGTAACCAGGCTGAATGTCACCAAGTATTATGTGCTCTGCAACATGACAGACTTACTGAATTCTCTGGGGCTGGAGCCGAGGAACATATTCAGTGCAGCTGCAGGAGGACCGAAGGCGGTGCAACAGTGTCACCGCCAGAGCGGCTCCCGGACGGTCGGGCAGGGAAGTTTCCTTAACACCAGAATCGTGAAATCACGTGAAAACCAGGGTTTTAAGGCGAAAACCACCTGCTTACAACTGCAAAGTGACAATCGGAGCATCATTTAGGGTGGAGGCGACTTCTGAGTCCGGCTGCGAACCTAACACCGCTGAGCCCTGTTCGCAACGTGCCGCAGCCACGGGGCTTTTAAATCTGTTTTAAACACCACCAGGGACGGCGCGCGGACTGTTTAAATGCTTGGAAACCCTCTCCATGAGGAATTTTTTTTTTTTTCCTGACGTCCCACCTGAACTTCCCCTTCAGGCCGTGTCCTCCCGTCCCGTCGCTGGTTGCCTGGGAGCAGAGCCCGTCCCGCACACGGCTACCCGCTGCTGCCAGGGAGACGCCCGGAGCGATGAGATCTTCCCGGAGCGTCCTTTTTTTCCCGGGAGCCGCCTCCTTTTTCCCGCGTGACGTCACCGCGGGGCGCGAGCGGGCCCGGTGCGTCACCGCGGCGCGGAGCGGCGCCGGCAGTGCGGGCAGCGGGAGCTCCGCCTTTCGACTGGATCCCACCGGAGTGAGATCCTGCCTGGAATCCCGCCTGGAATCCCGCCGGAGAGCCCGCCTGAGCCCGGCTCTGAGCTCACCCGAGCTCACCTGAGCCAGCCTTGCCATGGTTCGCTTCGGGCTGACCGTCGTGCGGCAGTGAGTACCGACCGCCAGCCCCGGCGCTGTGGGCGCTCCGAGCAGCTCCCGCTGCCTGCGATGGGCAGGAGAAAACCCTTCGGTTTTTATGAAAGCTGAACCCTGGGGTTCTCCGTTAGAGTAAGGACTGCGTGGGCAGCAGGGCAGGGCGGGGTTTTGCCCCCTCTGCCCCGCTCTGGGGAGACCCCCCTGCAGTGCTGCCTCCAGCTCTGGGGGCCCAGCACAGCAAGGACATGGAGCTGTGGGAGCGAGTCCAGAGGAGGGACACCAGGGTGATCAGAGGGATGGAGCAGCTCTGCTGTGAGGAAAGGCTGGGAGAGTTGGGATTATCCAGCCTGGGGTGACCTAATTGTGGCCTTCCAGGACCTGAAGGGAGCCCACAAGGTAGATGGAGAGAGACTATTTCCAAGGCCTGGAGTGACAGGACAAGGAGGAATGGCTTCAAGCTGACAGAGAGGAAGTTTAGATTGGATATTAGGAAGAAATTCTTCCTTGTGAGGATGGTGAGGCCCTGGCACAGGTTGCCCAAAGAAGCTGTGGCTGCTCCATCCCTGGAAGTGTTGAAGGCCAGGTTGGATGGGGCTCTGAGCAACCTGGGAAAGTGGAAGGTGTCCCTGCCCATGGCAGGGGATTGGAACAAGATGATCTTTCAGGTCCCTTCCAACCCAAACAATTCCATGCTTCTGTGATTTAACGCTTAATCAGTAAAACTGATTTTCCTTTCTCATTTTCCTCCTCTTAAGAGAAACTCTTCCCTTAAAGACCTGGATCTTGCTGATGTGGTGCTGTGACCACAGTTAATTTTTACATCAGCTAGAAAACCTGAGCCTGGATCAGTTTGTTGAATTCTTGAAAAGTTCATGTGAGTTTCTTGCAGGCACTTTAGAAAGATACCAGATCATTCACCAAAGGGATGGGAGCTCATTTTAAAGGTACTGGCCTTCTGTGAACAGTTATGTGTTTGAGGCTCATTTTGAGGTCCAGTTGGCCAACACATGCCTTTCATAACAGGGCTCCAGAATCTTCCACCAACTTTATCCTCTCCAGCATGGAGGTGTAGTTGTTATAGATAAATTATGCTGCATTGTTGATAAATCTAAGTAGTTACTTCATTTCCTTTTATTCCAGGTGGGTTTGTCTTAAAAATATTGATAACATGATTGGGGCTAACTGGTTGAAAATGGATTTTTGTTGTTGTAAAGCCTTTAGGTGCATCCTTTTGAAAAGAATCTGTGCTGTATTCTGTTTTTCACATTCAGGCTCTGCTGTCTCTTGGTGTCCAACATAAGAACATTTTTGAAAATTCAGTAAACCAATTATGAGTTAATTTTTTTGTTGTTGTTTATAATCTCTTTCAGTGGAGAAACAAGATACAACAAAGACAAGATACTACAAGGTTAGTATCAGTTATTCTGCTGGAAAATCGTGGTGAAACCCTGTAACAACTGCTCAGCTGTTAAGTATTATTACGGAATAATATTGCAAAAAGATTGTTTAAATGCTTTAATTGTTCAATCTCAGCTCCTTCTAGGAAGGCAGTCTTTATTAGATACATTTAAAACTAGACTTCACCTTAGTGGCTGCTGACTTGGACACCCAGAACTGAAAACACACACACTGGGCTGCTTGGATGTCTGTTGTAGGAAAATCAAGGCATCACTACAAGGATCCTGCTGGGGTTGTACTCTGAATAAATGAACTTTATACAATGCCATATTGTGAGGAAAAGCTCATGCTCCCAGATTTTCTTACCTCTGTTTTCTACCTCTGTGACATTGCTGTTTACAGATATGGCAACAGGGCTTTGTGCTCATAGTAAAATGAATAAAGAATATTTCCCTGCCTTACTTTCTTGAAAATACCAATGATGTATTTTAAATTCCAGGGTCTCTGGGTCAAATGCAGTGGGTTTCTCTCCCCTCTCCAGCATAGCAAGTGAAGGTAGCCTTGTGTTTTTGAGAGGTCTGAGGCCTATACCAGCATGGTTTTAAGTTTAAATTTTTCAGAGGTATAGGTTAATATAAATATCACTGACAGTGATCCTTCTGTGTTCCTATCCTGTACTCCTTTGTTTTGTTAAAATTGTGTGACTGAGTTTAGGGAAGACCAGAAGAGCAGTAACTTTTCCCAATGCTTGGCTTTACTGAAGGAGAAGGGTTTTATTGTGACTGAGCAGACTCTTTATTGTCATACTTGCTCAGCTGCTCGATGATCTGAAATTTGCATGTCTTAATGTTGATGGGTTTTTATTTTACAGGTCAAGGAGTGGATGAGCCACTCTCTGCAACTGGTTTCAGACAAGCAGATGCTGCTGGTGTATTCCTCAGTAATGTGAAGTTTACTCATGTCTTTTCAAGTGACCTCCTTCGAGCAAAACAGGTGAGTGCTTCTTGAGGCAACAATTAGCTGCAAAATTCAGCATTTATTTGAGATTGATGATGCAAAAATAATGCAGGGAGAGCCAAAAGCTGTTCTGATGGACCTGCCACTGCAGTTTGAGTTGTGTAGAACTGCAGGAAGCCTCTATGGGTAGGGAAATTTTGTTGAGAACAGCTCAGTTGGGAATCAATAAAGGCCAGCTCATTTTGCAGGATTTCATGCACTGTTGTGCCTGTGGATTTGTGGAAGAAATTCTGAGGAATCCAGGCCAATATAGGCAAGATCAAGTTTTGCTGTGAAGTCAGAGCAAGGGATCATTAGATGTGCAGAGAGGTTGGATTTTGCCAGGAACATCACACCTCTCACCTTGATGCATTATATGTTAAATAAAGAGGAAAAAAATGTAAATTACTGAGTGGGATTACATGTGATTTTGTGTGCAAGATTATGAAATACTCAAAATTAGGGAATCAGAAGTTTTAAAGTCAGAGATCAGTTGTTCTAGGACATATCTTCTGTGGAAGGCAGTGATTATATTTTAAAACAATAGTACTTTCTGACTTTCATAAAACTGTCTGGGCTATGTGCCTGCCTTAGGGGAATTGGGTTTGGAATTTTTTTTCCTTGTATTAGAGACAACCTTTTCTGTGGAAAGCATTTGTACTCTCACAATGGAGAAGACAGACCTGAATTTTTCCTTTGCCTAAAGGACATGTGTTTTGCCATTTGTTTGACAAGCTATCCAGACTTGGTGAAAGCTTTTCCAGAGATGTATAAAGGTGCAGTTTCCATGTGGTTGGAATTCCCTTTCTTGGCAGCTGCAAATCTCTGAAGTGTCTTGTTACTAAGCTGTCACTTCATAGATCAAATATGAGAGGAATGTACAAATTCTGTTGAAAAAGAGGAGATTCCAGCATATAATCATACAATTAACTATGCTATTCATATATACAAGGAAGCAGACTCGACCCTATCTGAATTTTGATGTTATTCTGTGACAGAAATTTAAAGTTACAAGATAAAGCTTTTCCTAAGCAATGCGTTAAATCAATCATAAAACCTTGTCAGTACAACAAGGCTTATTCTTCTTTGCCAGAATCCAAGGAGCCTTTTCCAAGTGAGTTATTTGAACTTCAGTTTGGGTGTGGATGTTGGCACAACACTACCAGCAGATATTTCCAGTCCAAAGTTCCTGTGAGCCCAGTACAGCCTTCACACTTTGGTGCATGTAGGAACTGGAGCAGATTGGCCATCCTTTAGTTCCCAGTTTAAGAAAGGCAGGGAGCTGTCAGAGGGGATCCAGTGGAGGCCACAGAGATGATCAGGGGTCTGGAGTATCTCCCTGCAGGAGCTGGGCCTCATTAGTCTGGAGAAGAGAAGACAAAGAGGGGATCTCATTAATGCACATAAATATCTCCAAGACAGGAGCCAGGAGAGTGGTGCTGGGCTCTTTTCAGTGGTACCCAGTGACAGGACGAGGAGCAATGGCCACAAACTAAAACACAAGTTCCACCTCAACATGACAAAGAATTTCTTTCCATTGAGCACTGGAACAGCTGCCCAGGGAGGTCGTGGAGTCTCCCTCTCTGGAGACATTCCAAACCCACCTGGGCACATTCCTGTGTCACCTTCTCCAGGTGACCCTGCCTTGGAGAACTGGACTGGATGATCTCCAGAGGTCCCTTCCAGCCCTAATGATTCTGGGATTGACTGTGGCAGCCAGGCAGGTGTCAGACAGATGTTTTTTGCAGTTGGATTAACTGAGCAGTTTTTAGGACCTGAGTCTGTCCCACGCAGTACATGTGAAGAATGTGTGGACACGATGGATTTGTGAGCTCATGATGGGGCTTTTATCCCAGTAAATCCTGCTGCCCACCTTTCATAGGTGCTAAGAGTTTCAACTCTTCTGGACTTTGAAATGTGAAGGAAAGTCCAGAATCTTTTCCCAGTCTAGGCCATATGTCCAATTCTCACAAAATTCAGCTGGAAAACTTTTTATTTTGTTGGTTTGGGTTGTTGGGCACTACTGATGTGATTCACCTTGGCTGTTGTGGTGTAACATGGTCTCTGTTCCATCCCATTGAAGTGACTGTATATTCACTTTTTAGACTGCTACTGCCATTCTAGGAAAGAATAAGTTCTGCAGAGATTTGGAAATCAAGTATGATGCAAGACTGCGAGAGAGAGTAAGTGCCAGAAGAATTTGTTTTAATATCAAATGCTGAAGAATTTGAAAATGTAGCTTACTGCTGATTGATATCTTGGCTTATTAAATCGTAGATTTAACAGTGGAGAGCATTATTTGCTGTGTTCTTAATCACTGAAAACTGAACTCTTCACGTCAGGGACAATGAATTGTTTGCAGAATTGTGAAGCAAAGCCAAAATTTAGTGATAAATGTTGCAACTGTGATGCTTTAATGATTTAAATAAGGTAATATTTATTGTTTAAGGAACAGCACATGACTGTAGCATTTCCTGTTTGAATCCTTTTTTTCTCTCAGAAATTCCAACTCTTCTCCTGAGACCAGCAAGTTAAATACCTCCCAAACTTCTTTAGTTGCTTTACCACCTGACTTTTTAGAAAAATAT